CCAAGATCAAGAACATAGATTGCCCTGAAGAATAAAGTCCTAGTCTCTTGCAGGCCCACATTCCCTTCTATGCCTTGGCCACTACCCACCTCTTGACCTCTATCTCTTTCCCAGTCCTGCTTCAGAATTTCAGCTTAGAACCTAGCCTTTGCTGCTAAACATTTCCCCCTTTGGAAAGAGATTTTCTCTAAAATATGGGAGTATGGAGAGAGATTTTTCTCTAAAATACAAGGTTACGCAGGGTGGCGTACCCTTAGGGGCATCCTCAGAGGGAGACTCAGTCGTGCTGCCCCCTGCATGCCCCCCCCCCACCCCACTACTGCTCTCAGCGCTGTTTCTCCTCCAGGTGGGAAACCCTCCTTTCCCACTTACAACCTATCCTTTCAGTGCCCCCAAACTACCTCTCTTAGCATAGATGAGTTTCCTTGAGGAGTTGGGACAAAAGAGAAGAATTCTAGCATCTGGTTTCCACACCCTGGACATCCCTTGGGCCCCGAAGGGACAGCATGGGAGTATTTAGGTCTTTCTCAGGGGCCACCCCGGGTCTTCCCCTGCCTCTCTGCTCCCTTTTTCAGGCTGGTTCTCTGCGAAGCTCCACTCACCTCCTTCTGGAGTCCTCACTCTTTCCCTCAGGGAGGACCTCATGCTCCTCCTCTCCATGTGTCTCACCAGATTTGAGCTGTTTAGGTTGGAGGAGAGTCCTGGTTCTCTGAAGGACAGAGGACTCTGGTGACAGAACTGTGTGAGGCAGTAAGGAGGTGAGGCCCGTGGTCCTGGATGCGTCCTTTATATCCAGTTTTCTCTGGGGCTGCAGGCTCACTTATTTTTATTTTTATTTTATTTATTTATTTTTTGAGTCTATTAATTAATGGAAACACCTATCTCAAAAATGGACACTTTTTAGTGAAGCTGGCTAGTACCATCTTAAGCTAAAATGAGAAAGTGTTTCCTTAATTAGCAAGACACCTTCTATTTCCTCAGAGTCGAGAGTTCCTGTTAGGGTAAAGAAACCACTCAGCATGTGGTTTCTTCCTACTCACTGGTGGCTTCCGTAACAATGAAGAAGCCACAGTATGCTTTTGGGTTACTCTCTGTGACACCAGGAAGGGCGTCCCACTCACATTTCTGATTCTTGGATTATCCCACTTTTCCAGACTCCTTGCTCCTCCATCTTGCCTTTGTTCTAGTGGTTCCTACTACCCTCAATGTTTTTGTCCTTTAACTGTTTACTGTGCTGACTCCTGTCTAGTCTCCTGAACATGACTAAATATTTTTATGTCCCATACAGAACTCTGGCAGTCACTACTTGGTAAAAGAAAGTTCGAATGTGTGAGGTAGCACATCCCCCTAGAAGCATTTCCTGCCACCCTCCTCCCTCTAGGGGTTTGCCCTCTGCTCTTACAGACCCCACAACTCTGTGCCTGATGCACTGATCAGAGCTCAGTTCAAGGGCTTGAGGATGGAGGAGTCGTGCCTAAGCAGAGGCCCAGAGCAAAAAGTATCAGGGCCAAAGAATGATACTGGGGAGACTCCAGCATGATTCTAGATGGCCATGAGGGGAGCAGTGGGGCAACAGAGAAGCAGAGGATAATGGACAGGGCGAGACCAGAGAGGAGGGGCCACACACCGCATGGTGGGCCAGGTGGGGAAGGAGAAGGACTTCCCCATATGGATAGAGCTGGTACAGAAACTGTGAAGGGAGGAGGAAGAGAAGGAGGGGTGCCAAGTCGATGTCTTCAGTTCTATTGGCCTGGGACTTGCAAATTTTTTTGAACTGTAAGTTCTAATAAGACAAAGATTTTACTTTATAACCCAGCAGACATATATCATATCCTACCTGGGGACAAGTTTCACAAAACATGCATGAGAGGCACTGATATTTTCTTTTCTATTCTACTCCATTGCGTTCCATTCCATCTTACCCTATCCCCATCCCATCTCATCCCATCCTCTTTCATTACAAAAATGCTGATAGACTCTCCAAACTGATCTTATAACCCATTAACAGGTCAAAGCCAGTTTGTGTGTGTGTGTATGTGTGTGTTCTTTTCTAACATTCTATTTTGAAAAAGTTAAATCTGTAGAAAAATAAAAGAATAGAACAGGAACATACATACACTCTCATCTAGATTCACAAATTACCATTTTGCTGTATCTGTGCATACTTTCTGCATGTGAAAATAACATATGCATGTATGCATATAAATATATGTGTGTATTTCTGTACACACACACAATCTACTTCCCTTATTCATAGTAGTTATATTCTATAAAGTTGCAGCAAACACTGAATTAGCAAATACTGCTCCTAGAGGAAATATAGAGTTAGGTTCCTGCAAGCCTCTGATCACATTTTCATTACCCTTGTTTTATGCATGTTTTTGTTTAAAGACACTTTATTACATATATGTTGTTGATTCATTAACACTGAACTCACAGCTGATAGCACTATATAACTGAACAAAGCTTATCTAGCACATGAATCTTCTCCTTACAGCTCATTACAGCCTTCTTGCACTTAGGATCCCTAGACAGCACTTGAGCACTATGCTGGGCACCATTTTAAGAAGCAAAATCTCAAAAAAAAAAAAACCCCCCCCCACAAACCACCACAAAAATATGGAAAACACGGTGCTAAATAGACTGTGAAAGGGATGCTTATTTCCGGCATGAAACAGGCGAAATGAAAGCAGAGTGTCACCTTGTTCAACCTCCATTGGGAATGTGCAGCTTGTGAGACTCAAAGTTTTCACGTGTCTGCAGGTGTCCCCAAAAGCGCTGCAAGTACTGATTTGGGGGTTACAAATCAATCTTAGCAAGCAGGCAGGCTTGCAAATACGGGCTCTGCGAATACTGTGGATTGATTGTATGTGTACTTGAAGGTTGCAGACTCTTATCTCTTCACCCCGAATGCAGCTCTGCAGAGTAAGGGTGTTCTACAATGAAACTCCATGACCATTATGCACCTCGGGAAAGCCAACTGTCATCCAATCACATCGTCTGATATTCAGACTTCTCCAATTGCCCTCAAGGATTTTAAGGACAGTTTTTGGGGGGACCAGAATCCAATCATGGTTTGCCCCCACCTTGTATTTAGTTATGTCTCTTTAGTCTCCTTTAAACAGTCTCACACCTTTTTTTTTTTTTTAAATGGAAGTGATACTTTTGCAGAATTCAAGCCAACTGTCTCTTCAATGTCCCACCTTCTAGAGTCGTCGGATCGCTTCCTCATGATTCCATCCTGGTGATCACTGCCTAGGTGATTTTGTGTACTTCTTTTGGCACACCAGGAGAGGGCTCCTGGCGTCAACTTGTCCCTCTGCTGGTAAGGCCGTGGTGGACTCCATGGTTAAGGTGATGACCCATGGTTTGAGAAGCACAGCTCTCAGTGGGAGAGAGGTAGTACTGTCAGGTGCAGGAGAGGGGAGGTTGAGGGCCCAAAGAGAGGAGACAAGGCCAGGAATTACTGTGTGACGAACGGCACAGGAAGGCCAGGGGCCGAGGCCCGGCCCTGAAGAGCCACAGTCTCCCTCTGAGGGCAGAGGGCCTGCATTTGCTGAGGAGCCTTTTGCTTGCCAAGAGCGTGAAGAAACACAGTGTTAGTGTCTGGGGACTGAGTTTTAATTTCCAGTGAAATTGGGACAAAGTTCCTTTAGGCTAGATATAAATTCTTTTTAAGCCTTGGGTTCAAAGACTTGGAGCATTCTAAATGCTTAGGAAATTGTTATGGGTAGTAACAAAAGGCAGAATAGCTAGGTCTGACATGGTGTGTTTCTATGCCAGTGCCACTAGATGATTTAACATTTAATATGATTGTGGTCAAACCAAGTCTGAATGGAGTAAGCCTGAAGCATTTCTAGTGCTGCAGCTAAGTGGCCAGGAGCCCAAAGTGATAGAACTGTGGTTTACTCACCAGCCTTGAGAGTAACCTTTGGGGCTGTCTGAACTCTCAGACACCACTTGGTATTTCCTAACAATGATCAGTAATGCATTTGGGAAGCCTGTTCGGATCACCCAATTAGACGGGTGTTTTCCAAGGGGCCCTGGCAGGGCTGATTTGTCTGCTAGTTATTTTTATGGCTATCTTCACTGAAGTAGAGACAATCTACCATGTGTTCAGGGGAATAAAGCCTTTTTCTCTTGTTCTCAGTTCAAAAATCCTCTCTCTTTACAAAGCGGATTCCACTCTCCATCCCTCATTTGATTCTCACAACAGCCCTGTGCAGGACCCCAGGCCAATGTGACTGTCTCCGTGTGCAGACAAGGAAACTGAAGCTCACACAAGTTAAGGGACTTGGACATTTCACAAAATCATTGGCTGCCATGTATAGAGGCCTTGACTTTCTAGCTAGGCATCCTTCCTACTATGGGTTTGGAAGTTAAGCAGGAGTGACAGGCCATTTATTGGTTGGGAAATGGCCCCATGAGCCATTGCCAGCTTGTGTTTCCATATTGGACTCCAGCAGGCCTTGACTCATCAGAGAGAGGCTCTTTGTGCTCAGAACTGGTCAGAAGGTTCCCACTAAAACCCTATCAATTTTCCACAAGGTCAGGAGGGCTCACTCCACTTGTCCCACTTAAAGTGGTCCCATAACTCGGATTAAGACCAGAGGCTTAGAGTTGGACCAAGATTGGAACCTTAGCTCTGCCTCTCACTCATGTGTGAAGTTGAGCAGGTTATTTAACCTTGTTCAGCATTAGTCTTCTCCTCTGTAAAATGTGGATAATAGGACCTCTCTCTAGGTCTTATTATTGATGAAGACTGAGTTATTACATGTAAAGCACTTAGATGAGCAGTGAGTGCTCTATAGTTATTAGCTGTTATTATGTAATGTGTTTAGTTAGCACTCAAACAAAAGACATTGTGGTGGCACTGGGATATTTTCATACATAGTGGTTGCTATTTGTCGATGTTACTGAGCACTGATTGTATTTTGTGACATGGCTTAAAGAGGCTAAAGAAACTTCATCAAGCACAGAAGCCCACGATTTGCACTTACTTATGATGTGCTCCATGAGACGATTTTCCATCTTGGCATCAGCATGCACTGAGGTAAACGCTGGACAAACAGAGATAAGAGATGTGTTGCTTGCCCTCAGGGTTCTTCCAATTTGGCCTGTGAGGGAAGAGTGCAAAAATTCATACATAAAAAATAAAAACCAGGTAAGGTAATGTTTGGCCACATGGAGAGGGTTGGGTCTCCTTGGGGTCCCCTTGGGAGAATGGGGGAGGCAAGAACCAGGACAGCAGGGCAAGGTCAGGTAGAGGAAGTAGACAGCAGCAGTGGTTCTGGGTTTGTATTAAGCCATTCCCATACCCTCCTTACTGACCAGGGATGAGAGAGCCAACTCTCAGTGACAGGTCCCGAATTGGTGTGACCTCAGAGGACCTCACAGGTGTAGTTACCCTGTGGACAGCTCAGAGGGTCTAGGCAGCTGGTGTGGGTGTCAGTCAGAGTCAGTCTACACATGGGTCAGGGCAGCTCTGCCCCATCTATTTATCTGTCTATCTGTTTGTCTGTTCACCCGGTTATCCATCTGCTTGTCCATCAGTCCACCTGTCCACTTGTTTGTTCATTTGTCTATCCGCCTCTTCATCCATGTATCTGTGTATGTTCATCCATCCACCCATCTACCAGTTCATCCATCCATCTACCATCTTTCTGTGCATCTACCTGTCGTTCTTTCCATATTTCTATTTCCCATCTCATTCTATGAAAGATTTGCAGTGGATCACAAAAAACACGTATCATAATAAAAAACAAGCAAACAAATGCACAGAGGAATAGGAAGGTGTAGAATGAGAATAGGGAAGGAAAACTCAGACTATGTTGGAAGGACATAACTGGTTGCTGCAATAGTTGAGTTACAGATTTGTCTGCTAGTTATTTTTATGGTTATCTTCACTGAAGTAGAGAAAATCTACCATGTGTTCAGGGGAATAAAGCCTTTTTCTCGTTCTCAGTTCAAAAAATACTTTATCTCACGAGGTTTCCTTCAGTTTCTAGGGAGAGGCAGCAGGCTGGTGGGTCCAAACAGTGACTTCTAAATCAGACAGGACTGAGTTCAAATCCTGCATCCATCACTGGACAACTGTGTGACCTTAGGCAAGTCATTGAGTCTCTCTGAGCCTTACTTTCCTCATCTGCAAAACTGGGATAAGTGTGGTGCCTGGCCTCACAGAACTGCAGTCCAGATTGAATAAGTTTGCATGTGCGTGTGTGTGTGTGTGTGTGTGTGTGTTTGACATGGTACAGGACACATAGTTAGCCTTCAATACAAGGCAGCCATTGTTACTACTGAACAATCAGTCTGTTGAATGTGGTTGGGAATTGGCATCTGCGTGTAGAAACTCTGGGGAGAGTCAAGGCCCAAGCACCTGTGACCGGGACAGTGCCTGCTAGCCCCGGATGGGAGGGAAAGACTCTCATTCCCCACAGTTTCTCCTGTCCGTTAGCAATCTGCTTTTTCGCAGCCCCCAAGGTCCAAGCAAGGTAGAGGGCTTGGTCCAATTGCTCTGACCCCATGGCCCCAGCTGGAAAGCAGAGACTTAGCAAGCTGCTGAGACTCCCCTAATCTTCCCAGCAGCCATTCCCTTTGCACTTACAGATGATTAATTGCACAGGAGAGAAGGTTTGCATCCCTCTCCTTGGCTGGGATTCCCTCTATCCCTCAAGTCCCTCATAGCTGATAGTAATTCACTCTTAACCTTGCAGTCTGCCTGGGCCTAATTTGTATCTGCAAATTTCATGTATCCCAAATATGAGTTGAACCATCTCCCCTTAAGACAAGGGGTGGGAGGCAGGGGCAAGCAGGAGGTGGTGTGGCTTGTTCTGTCTGATAGCAAAAGCCATGGCTTAGTTGTGAGTGTATTTGTATGTGAGGGACGACAGGGTGAGAGTAGAACCATTTCATTTTGTTTTTACTTCTAAGTATCATACAAATGGCCTCTGGAATCCTCTGGCAGCTGGTGGACTTTGAGTCAGCAACCAATGAATTATATCCTCCAGTTGTGAGCAAAACTGCAAATATCTTCAAGATGTTCAGTGCTCTGGGAAAGGGCAGCCAAGCCTTGTTGGCTCTGTGGGTTGCCTCCTGTTGAAGGAGCAAAATGCAGTACCTCTCTCTCTGAAGAAGGGAAAAGGGAGAGTGGGGAGGGATGTGGGAGCAGGCACCCACAACAGAGAGACCAGGGAGAAGTCTGGTTTAGGGACACAGCCGGGGCCCAGTATGGGGTAGGATGGAAGGAAAAGCCTGAGTGAAGCACCATGGACTTCCTCCAGACTCTGCAGGTGATACCCACACCAGTGCGTGTCTGGGAGCAGCTGTGTTCATCAGTGCTTGGTAGAATGCATGCTAACTGACAGAGCCTCCTTCATCTCAGCAGTAACTATTTGCCAAGTCCCCCCACGTGGGAATAGACGGTTTAGGATTTGTAGTCACCAGAGCAAGACAAAGACGTATACTGGCTCCAAAAAGATCAGTTATTCACTCAACAAAGATTTGCTAAAAAAAGGTACCTAATGATATGCTAATACTGAATAATACATTCAATTTCTATTATGTGAAAAACGAATCCAGCCAAGGCATATGCCATTGGGCCCCCAGAGACCTCTGTTGAGACTGCATATAGTCTGAGAGTTGAGGCTTGGTCTTCCCCATTAGCCTGTGAACAATATAAGGGCAAAGACTGGGTTTTGTTTATCTGGCATTATAATGGCATCTCCTCTCTTCAACACTCTTCTTGGCTTGGTAACTAGTAGCATCTAGTAAAGTTTGCTAAATGAGTGAGATGAAGTTAACCTTCTCGTTTGTCTGTTGATGTGGTCAAGCAAAGGCAAAGATAAAGAAAAGAGCACTCACCTCTTAAATTACTTTCCTGGAAGGGAGTTTTGGCCCTGTCCCAGCTCTCCATTGTGGCCAGTCTCAGCTGCGAGGCACCGAGCCCAGTGCCTGGGAAGACTGACCCCTGGGAGATATCATCTTAAGAAATATAGCTACTGAATACCTGTAAAGAACAGATATTGAGATTTGTCTGGGGATTTCAAAAACAACTCATTGACTTAATGAGTATATGATTTCTAAAAGCAATGAAATTTCATCAAATACATATTTAATATATGGAAATTCAATAATTTGCTAGATGAAAGAGAAAGAGGAAAGTTGCCCAGGTGTGCATGTACACACACAAACACACTTAATATGATCCGGACCATTCTCCCTGCCAATCCACTCAGTGGTTATAGATCTATGAGCAGGTAGGAAATGAAAATATGTCCTTTCCTCAGGTGGTCTCAGTTTTTATGAACCTTACAGAGAGGGTGTGCTTTGTCCCTTCAGTGTTGAAAGGTTTTTTGTTTTTATTTTTGTGTGTGTGTTTTTTTTTTTTAAACACGACCCATCTATTCCCATTTCATACTCAGCTGAAGAAACAGATCTGTTATAACTATGAAGGAAACCAGGGCTCTGTTGAACTTACTGAGAGATGTGGTCTCCAACACGGTACTGTCCTCAGGAATTCCCAAGAGTATTTTTAATCATTTGTGATTGTATAAGTTCACCTTTAGATGCATAAAATATAAAACTCAAGTGACTTAAGCAAGATGATTTCATTCCAGCCAAAAGCATGTCCACAGGTAAAAGTGGGCTGGTGACTCCATCCACGGCTGTTAGGGCCCATTTTTTGGGGGGGGCTCTATTAGAATTGGCACACATTTCCAACTCAAGGTCACCTCAAGACCCAGAGTGACCACAAAAACATTTCAGAGCCCACACGCCAGGCAAGAAGGAGGAAGAAGGGAAGAAAGACCAAGAAGGTGACCTTCCCAGCCAGGTAAACCCATCTAAAGTGCTTTCCCAGCAGCTCCATGCACTGACTATATCACTGGCCAAACCTAACTTCAAGGGAAACATAATCCTGTAGTTATGCATACTGTTACCCAGAATAAAATTGGGGTTCTATTAATAATGAAAGAAGAGGAGAATGATTATTAGGGAAGCAAACAGTCTCTTTGCCACAGTGAGTTCCTGCTTATGAGTTGACTTCAAAATCCAATTCTCATGGAAGGTAAATCTCCAGAGCTAAGTCAGAGCCCTTCAGGTCCTCCTAGGTGGTTTCCGACTTGCTGGTTCCTGGAGGGCAGGTGTGCTGACCAGCCTGACAAGGTGTGAGTTTGCTCTGCTCTTTGGATGGAGAGAAGCTAGCCTTGAGGGCAAAAAGCAGGTTTCTTTATTCTCATTTCATAGCGGGAAAAACACCTGTGGTATTGGTAGTTCTTAGGGGAAAGGGTTAGAAACAGGGGGGGCAGGTCTGAGGGGGGGGACAGGCAGGCAGGGCTTTGTTCACTGGAGATGGGGGTGGAAGGGGAAACCTTTAGCACTCAGATAACCAGTGGTGAGTCTGGGGAGTCTGCAGTTGAGGGTGTGTGAGAGAGCATTTTAGGAGTGTCCACTTATGGGATGGGCATCACGCCATTGCTCTGCCCATCCACAAAATATATCCTTGTTGTGTGTATGCTGGAGTTCGCCAGCTTTCTCTTACCAGTTTACAACTCTAGTGTGACTTTGGTCTAATATTCCCTCAGAATTATTTGAAAAAAAATATAGCCTGAGGAGATAGCAGAAAGGTACATAGGGCCAGATGGACAAGGATGTTCAATGCAGCATTGTTCATAAGAGTAAAAAATTGGACACAACCTAAATGTTCTAAGTGTTCATTAATAGGATATCAGTTAAATTATGAAACAACCATCTGAAGAACGTTATGTGGTCATTAAAAAGGATAACATTTATATGTTCATTGGGATAAGATGAACTCTGTGACACAGAGTGATAAAAAGATCACAGACCCCAGGGTGCCTGGGTGGCTCAGTCGGTTAGGCGTCCAAGTCCTGATCTCAGGGTCTTGTTTTCAGGCTCGTGAGTTGGGCCCCACATTGGGCTCCATGCTGGGCATGGAGTCTACTAAAAAAAAAAAAAAATCACACGCCTCCCCCCTCCCCGCACCCCCTGCTTATAGTAGGATTCCACTGATATACAATGTTGCATGTATAATATATGCAGAGCAATATCACAAAGGATATTTTCCAAGATGTCTGAAGTGGTGACATTTTAAATAATCTTTTACTTCTTTTTAATAGTTTGCTATAGCGTTTGAACATACCGACTGTGTGTTGTTTTTATAATCAGAAGAAATTAACTATTTTATGAAAAATGCACGTAAGTAAAAAATTGGAAGAAAATTCACAAATGGTCATATTTTTTTGTTGGGATCATAGATGCCTTTTTTTTCTCTTTTCTTTTACCCAGATTTTCTGTGGGGTAGTTATGATATTTAATTGGAAAAATGAATAAACAATGTTCTAAGAGGATAATACTAATGATTGTAAATGAATTTGCACTAACAATCTTATAACCACATAACTCAATGACTGTCTGATCAAGCCAACAAAGGTGTGGGAAGGGGATGGGGAAAGACTTTAAGGGAATATTCATTTCCAGCAAATAAATAGCTGCAAAAGCTTTGCTTGAAATCACAAATCAGGGAGTTGAGAGGGACCCTCTAGGTTATCTCATCTATTTCCTATTGATGCAGGGTTCCTTTCCTTTATATTCTACCAGAGGGGATTCAGTCTTGCCTTGAACAACTGCAGTGGCCAGTGAGCTTGTCACCATGGAGGTGTGTTAAGTCCATTGTTGAATGGCTCTATTTATTATCTCAACTCTCTCTCCTTGAGCTCCTACACATTGCCTCTAGTTCCAGTCTGTGGGGTAACAAGAGGCAGGTCTTGGCAGTGGCTTTCAGACTGTCTTCTGTGAAAGCCAGGTTTCATAAGGTTGTCTCCTCTAACTGGGCAAGAAAAGCAAAGCTGGAACTGAGGATTTCAGCTCAGATCTGGGCTGATCAGCTCAGGCCTACTAGGAACAATATTTCTATTGCCCTGGACCTGGACCTCTGTTTACAGATGGGGTTCACATGCCACCATTCCTGCTGCTAGATATCTCCTGGGGTTCCTACTGCCTAGGTCAGACAGGTTTTTGCCGATCTTCGAACCTGGTTCTGTAGCCTTCCTGCCAACTTTCTGAGCAGAGATGATTTTCCAATAAACCTTTTTCTTTGTAAGTTAGCTAAAATCGGTTTCTGTTGCTGTGGTCAAAGAGCCCTGGCTGATACAGAGGTCATTCACCTCTTTATTACAAAATAATAGCCCATTGATGGCTCACACTGAGATTCTGGTTATTCAAACTCATCCTTAACTCAGTCTACCAGATTCCTCTATACCAAAGCTGCCTAACCTAAGCTAGAACTCTCCCTCTGTGCTTGTGAAGGTGACCTTTACCCTTTCATCAATTTCCATTAAACTTAGCTTTGTTGAGGTTATTTTTAATGTGGATGCCTGACCCAACTGGGGTATTCTGGGACCCAAATTTCCAATGGTTCCCCACCCCAACAAGCAATTCCTAGACACCCTGTTGGTGTCCAGAATTCAACTCATTCTGACACTATCTTCACAGAGATAACATCAGATTCCACAGATTAAGGGCTCAGTCCTAGGAGACAGTGCCTCCATGCCCCCAAATTTGGATGCCAGTTGCAATTGTTATAAAAGGATAGAACAGCAGATGGAAGAGATGCATCGGGCCAGGTATGTATATGGGAAGGGTGTGGAGCTTCCTTGCCCTCTCCAGGAATGTCACTCTCAGAATCTCCATGTGTTCACCAACCTGGAAACTCTCCAAACCCAATCCTTTTGGGTTTTCATGGAGGCTTCATTACATAGGCATAATTAATTAAATCATTGCTCATTGGCAGTTGATTTACCCTCCAGTCTCTCTACCTTTCCCAGAAGTCAGGGTGTGGGACTGAAAGTTCCATCCCTCAATTGCACTGTTGGTTCTCCTGGCAACAAGTTCCCATCCTTAGGTCCAAAAGTCACTTTATTAACATAACGAAAGACACTTTCATCACTCTCATCACTTAGGAAATTCCAAGGGTTTTAGGAGATCTGTGCTGGAAATGGGGTAGAAGGCCAAATATATATTTCCTACTGTAAGTCACAATATCACACAGGCACTCATGTGTCTTGCTTCTCTAAGTTTTGTGTTATTTGCAGACACCATCATTAAGAATCCTGAGTCTTGGGACACCTGGGTGGCTCAGTTGGTTAAGCGGCTGCCTTCAGCTCAGGTCATGATCCTGGGGTCCTGGGATCGAGCCCCACGTCTGGCTCCCTGCTCAGCAGAGAGCCTGCTTCTCCCTCTGCCTGCCACTCTGCCTATCTGTGCACTCTCTCTATCTCTCTGTCAAATAAATAAAATCTTTAAAAAAAAAAAAAAAAAAGAATCCTGAGTCTTTGTCCAAGCACTGTTGAAAGAAGGCAGTCATAACGACAATTTAATTTTAATTATGGAATATTTTGCAAGTACAGAGGAGTATAGAAAATACCACAACACATCCACATACCTACCATCCAGATTTTGCCATATTTGCTTCTGAATTTGATAGTGGCAAGTGATGGTGAGAATGTGGGGAGTATAAACTGATACCACCACTTTGAGAAGAGACTGTAGGCAAGTCAAATAGAGTTAAAGATGGAGGCACCCATACCCTACATTGAGAAATCTCATTTCTAGGTAAGTACCCTAAATAAAGTCTCTCACACAGCACACAGAACTAAGTACACAGGAATGTACACTCTAATAACAAAACACTGGAAATGACTTAAACGTCCATCAATCTAGTATATTCATAAAATGAAATATTGTTATTAAAATAAGTAGGTAAAATTTAACATGGATAAATCTCAGATATATAATGTTGAATGAAAAATAGCAAGTTGTAAAAGGATACACCTAGTATGAAATCATTCATGTGAGTTTTGAAAAAGAAAGAAAAAGCAGTTATTAAAGTACTTGGTGCTGCAGGTGACCCCTGGGGTCACACTGACCTGGGTCAAATCCTGGCTTCAAGCTTTATAACCACAGGCAAGTTGTATAAACTCCCTGAAC